GAAGAGCAGTTAAATCACTTACGTTTTGCGGCTGATATAGTTCTTATTACTAACAACCTCTGCGAAATAAACAAGGTGCTACAGGAGCTCAACGGACGAAGTTCGGTAGTGTTTTTGTAGATACATTCTACTTGTCTTTTAGAGTTCAGTGGTATTTCCTAACTAATTCCTAAACTGTGTTCACACCGTTCAGGGCGTAGCTACCTGGCCTATGTTTGAAAGCATGCAGTCAGAACAGCTCCCCAACTTTTGTCCTTGTTGAGGTATGGCTATACTCTTGGAGCAGCTGTTTTTGAAGCCATCAGTCGGATTTCATTTTAATTTTTAGTTAATTTAATTGATTTTTAACACTTCTCTTAGGCAAAGTCATAATTCGTCCTTGTTTCCTTTTCTGTTGAATGGTGAAGTGAAACTGCTGTTGAGGAAGAGCTTTGATTTGGCTTCTCTCTGTTTTTGACCTTTTTGGCTGTTTGATTTTCAGAACGGTGACTTGTGCATTAGTATACTGCATCCTCCCGTAGACGATCCACATAGTGGTGAACTGGCCTGCGAACGTTGGAATCCGACTCAGAATGTCAGGTAATGGCAGTTTCTCGGCTTCATCTGTCTCAAACAGAAAGTGAATTTTGTGCTATCGCCTAGAAATGTTCCCGTACTCGCATTTTGTATAAATTTCTGAATTCACATTGATAAGGAGTGGTTTGCGTTGTCGCATTTTTTTGCGACAGGCAAAAATGCTGTGCATCAGTATCGAAAAGGCATTCAGTTTTCCTCTTAAGCCTCCAGTTCCAACTTTGTCTTAGCCTGCTTATGGCTTCTGCTGGCGAGCCGCCTTTTCTTGATCGGAAGTGAGAAAAGAATGAGTATTTTTTGATAGTTTAAGTAGATTATATGAAAACTAAGTTTCCAGGACAATTCTTCTCTCAGTAATATCGTTGCTGAATGAACCGAACACATCATCACCAGCGAACGTCGATGCATCAGTGATGTACAGAAAATGGATCGAATCGGATGGCAAAGATGACGAGTACGCACGTCTTGTAAGGTTAGTTTATTGGTTTTCTCTTATTCCATTGTCCTGCATTCGGGAATCATCTTAAAGAGGCAGCCCGAAGTCCGGGAATCTCGTATTTACACCTGCTCGAATTATAGATGACTTTGAATTGAAGCTTTGACTTCAGTTTGAGTAACGGGGAAGAGGAAGAGTGGGTGAGAGAATTAGAGGTGTTGATTTAGGTCACAGGAGGTCGGCACAGAGGGGAGGGGAGGGGGAGGGGGAGGAGAGATTGGAATAATGACTGGAAAAGAACTGAGACCTTGCTTGGAGGTAGAAACTGGAAATAGAATCGAGGATTGTTGGGGCGAAGTGGGGGAAAGAGTTATGAATTTATGATGCTCAGAAAGAAACTGAATTCTGAGTTGAAACTGGTAATGTTGTGCTTGTCATCTTTCATTCTGCATTTGATTTTTTACTCAGCATCATGAACGCATAATGGATGGAACTGAGATTCAACTGATTAATGGAAAACATGACGGTCTTGCTGGCAACAAAGCCAAACTGAAACTTCTAGAGCACGAACAATGATCATGAAACAGCGAAAAACTGTTGAACTAAAATTATTTTTCTGAATCATTTTGGAAATAAAAGGAAGCCAGTGCACCCACGTTTTTTCTGTTCTTGATTTTTTCAAGCACCTCCAGAATTCCACAGAAAAAAGAAAAAGCCAAATGTTGCATACAGTTGTGATTGACTCATCGATCGCACCAAAAAAAAAGTGCTTTTTGCATAAAAACGAGTTTATGTTGCGTGGCTGAACTGGGCTGAATCAAATTTTAGTAGTTGCTTGTTAAAGATCACAACTGCTAGGACTGTTAATAAGGACCTCTTATTGTTGTTGAAACAGATTTATATGCCGAACGTTGCTACTTCGGGTTCTGTTTTTTCTGAGAAGCTTGTGCCTGCCTTGCATCGGCTGTCTTCGCTGCACGATGAAGACCTGTACTTTATTCATTGTTGTTTTGAAGTTGTAGACTTTGTTTTCAGCGCAGCTGATAGTCTTTTGCGATTGGTGTGACCGTACGTAGTAGTACCAATCCTGGCACCGTTTTGTTTCATTTTCTTGAAAAAGAAGTGCAAGATATCTCAGTAATCGTTTTTCCGTTTCTCTGCGATTACAGCTGTGCGTAACTATGCCTTTATCGTAATACTCACAGAATCCCGAACTATGATTGTTGAGAAACTTCATCCCCACATGGCGAAGATAATGAATAGGGCAACCTGAATGAACAGTTTTTGCTTCTGGTGTCGAAGTGACTACAGTCGACGAAATCTTCCGAGTCACGAATGCGAAGCCCTAGAATCATGTACTCGCTGAGCTCGCATGTGTCAGCCTTTTTCCTAGATTGCTTGTCATTACCATTGGTATTTATTGCCTGCCATTTTCACCTGTACTTACACTGTTTCCTCGGTGGTCATTTAAGAATTTGCCGTTCCAAATCGCGATCCCATTTTTGCAGGAAGCAAGTAGAAGCATCACGTTTAGAAGCCGAAAAAGATGGCGTTGTTGTACCAGAAACCTTAGAAGAATACTGCATCAAGGTGGCTCCAAAACCATGTGATGATTCTACAGATGCTTTCGATCTCGATGAAGATTATTATGATTATGGCGATGAGACTGGTTTGTTTTGCAGCTTATTCGAGGTCTTACATTGCATCGAGGAACAAAAATAACAGATGCACATAACTGGTTAACGTTTATACGCACTCAGTGTTAAAAAGTAGTGGTGAAGCTGGCAGTGAAATTTTATTAATTTCCTAGGCGCGTACTTCAAATTCGGTGGATACGGCAAGGAAATTTTGCAACTGCCAGATGCTTTGACGAAAGGAAAGGATATACATTTATCTACTTAATCATCAAACAAGGCATATATATATATATATATGTATATATATGTATATATGTACACATATATATATATAATGCATTATATATATATATGATGCATTCAAGTATAGAAGGAAAAAAACTAATCACAGAAGCATTATACGAGATTAATAAACTAAATTACAGTGCTTTTGAGGAACAACAGTAGCGTACAGGAACAGCATAATGTGAAATTACTGCACTGATTTACGATGCCTTTGAAAGGAAGGCCACTGTGCAGAACTGTCAATAGCGTTTGTAAACTTCCCAACAGTATGAGCATGAACGAATTCCGAAGGCAGGCCATTCCACACATTAAACTATTCGATATGGCCAAATAGCAGCTGACTAAACTTTCTGATGGTCTACCACTTTCTGATTGTCAGCTTATGTAGCCTACGATTGCAGATCAAGCGCTTTTAGAACTCTTCCACTTAACCACTGTGTCCTTTTCCCTACGGGATGATTAAGGGAGGGATAGTAGGAAGACAGATGAGTAAGTATGAGGTGAAAACTGCAGAAGCGAATGAAATGCACCTAGTGTATTTCTTCAGAAAATTAAAGAGATCAGTAAAATGAAGGTTTGTCTGCTAAAGTTCTTTTGAAATACTGTGCTTTCAGAGGACGAAGAAGAATATGAGGAAAATGCAGAGGATAGCGGGCAAGGCGAAAATTGAACTAGCGTGATTTACTTTTTCTACAGAAAAACGATATATTTTGTTTCGCAAAAGTAAGTGTTGAAACGAGACGCGGGAGAGCGTTGTTCGCCCTTGGAAATGTTTGACAAACTACTGCCCTCCTATTTTCACTAACACTGAAATCTTTTCATTTTGGATTAGAATTCTTTTCTTATTTGAAAGGAGAAACTCTTGTTATGCTTTTTTGCATATATGCAAATACAGAAATGCGTACTGACAAGGGGATGTGTGTGTATGTGTGTGTCTATGTGTTCGCACTTTTTTATCACCCACTTTAAACTCGAGAGCCAGAAAAGCTCGGGGTGTGTACCAACACCATGTGCGACCCTCCCTTTTTAATATCGTTACTCGCGTATGCCTGGGTCCCACGCCCGGACGCCTTGAAAAATATGCAAATTTTTTGGCTGGAAAGCGATATCGGGAATCAGACAAGATAGAGAGCTGAAACTTTGCATGGGTATTTTCTGCGTATGTGAGCTAAAAACTTCAAGTTCAGCTCCTGGGTTTCGTGGTTCTCATGCGCGGGCACGTGAAAAGCTTGGTGGAAAAATTGCTAACCTGGTAATCAGAAAGGCTTAGAGGCTGGAATTTTAAAGGGGTGCTCCCCGTCCAAGGATGTTTTAAGAATTTCAAATTCAGCCTCTGGGTACGCGTGATTCTCGCGTATAGGCATTTGAAATTCTTAATTCGAGAACCAGCAAAGCTGAAGAGCTGAAATTTTAGGGTGTTGTTCCCTTTCCAAGTACAATTTAAAGTTTTCAAATTCAGTCCCAAGCTATGCGTAGTTCTCGCGTACGGGCACTTAAAAATTTTGACGGGCAATTTGCTCACTGAACAGCTGGGTCATTTTCAAGGAACAGTCTTTAAAAGGAAATTGTTCATTTTTCTTTACGCAAAGTTTACAGTGATTTTTGGTAGTGAACACACCATGTAGCTGTAAAAGCAACAATCATTCATGCAGTTAACGACCTGATTACTTCAAGTTTGGTGCAGAAACGCATGTTAGCATGGTCAGGCGTGATGCGTTCCAACCTGGGTTGTATTTCTTTTTACTAATCGCGTCATATCAGGACATTTTGCCATGACTGCGCTCTGTTCTATCCTGATAATGTTGAGGGCTCCACACCGGTAGTCTTGGTAAACTTTGCGACGCTTTCAAGATTGCTCAGCTTTTTAGCATACCAAAAAAACTAATAGCTTCTCTCATGATTCTCCCTAGAAATTTTAGACGCTTTTTGTAACTTTCTTTTGGATTTGAAGTTGCGTTTGGGGAGCATCTGTAATACAGCATGACTTGGAAGAGAAGAATAATTGGCCAACGCACGGGCTGCCCGTGCGAAGATGCGTTTTTTGCATGGTTCCCCGCAGT